ATGATATAGGGATTTGACTAAACAAACTTCACAATTGAAATCTAACTAAATATTGTTGAAATGTTTGATTGATTCGCGAATTGTGGTCAACGCATGCATACCTTTTCGGAAATAGAAATCGTTTCAACGCTTTCCAAATCATCGCAATTATGAATCGATTGATTCATTTGATTGTATTTATGTAACGATTCATTCAAATGATTCGTATCTCTCTGTGAAAGTCTTTCGAGCCTTAAGTCTTGTATTTCATTATTAACTTCGCGTAGTTTTTGCTCCAATAAAGCGATACTAGAATTATGTTTGTCTTCAAGTTCTTCAATCTTTGTCTACAAATATTATCAATTATTAACCTTTCATTTGCAATACAAATAATAAATATAAAACCTTATAATGTGTTTCGGTTTGTTTGCGATCACTAACTAGTGTTGATTGCAATTCACGGGCCAATGACTTAAGCTTTTCATTTTCATTCTTATATTCAGTAATTCTGGAAAATATTGACTTTGAAATGAATTTGATTCAAAAATAAGTATATATTAATAGCAAATATACCTCTCTTTTAAAGTATTGCATTCATTGTTTATATTTTTCAATAAATTATGACTAGTATTCAATTGAATGTAATTGTTGTCTAAAGTTTCCTTTTCGCGTAAATTAATCTCAAACTTTTCCCTAAAAAATAAACATTAAATTGAATAAAAGAGTTCATCTGTTATTAGAGTTAATTTACTTCAAAGAATTTAATTCTAAATTTAAATGATCTATAGTTGACTCCAAGTCCGACATTTGCTTTGAGTTTCGCTCATTATTTTGGGAATCGTTGTGTTGTTTAAGAACTTTACAAACTCTGTGTTTGTATTCTTCAAACTTCTCGTCTTTGGCGTTGAGCTCACTCTCCAAACCAGTGATTTGTGAACGCATTTCATTCACTTTAGTTTCTAAACTCTTCACACTTTTATTAAACGTTTCATTCGTTGTCCTCAACTGAGTCTCCAAACTATTGATATGTGCCGTCAGTTCCGAACCCTTTATTTTATAGTTTTCTATTTCAGACAATTGTGTTTCTAATGTTTCGCTATATTTCTGAACGTCTTCTTTAAGAAGTAAATTCTCTTTTTCTAAGGACTCGACACGAGATATGAGTTCCTGTTTTTCAGCAAACAATTCATCGAAATTTTTGATGCCTTGCTTTGCGCTCTCAAACCTATCGCTTATATCTATAATCTCAGTGGTCTTCTCATCCAATTGATGGTGAAGTTCACTAATTGTCTGCTCTAACCCACTGTTGGCCACATTCCTCTTGCGCTCCAAATCCAACTCATTTTGCAATACAATTACTTTCGATTCAAACTCTCGTTTTCTTGTCTCTAAACTTTGTTTCTCATCTTTGA